AGGGCAATTTTCCTAAATTTCCGTGAGGAAAATCCAGGGCGAGGATCCGCCGCAGTCCGCCGGGACCCGCCAGAAGTTCTGGAGGCAGGTAAGAGCGCGAGGCGGCCGGTCCATCTAGCCTCATGGCGGCGGCGAGGTGCTCTGAGGGCTGCGCCAGTCAGAAGTCTGAGGAGGCGGGAGCTTCGCCGCTGAAGGTGAGCCCTGGAATCAAAAGGGCCGGGGGGGGCGTTGGGGGAAGAAATTAAATTAGTGATAATTTGTGTGGAAATGGAAAGGAAATAACTTGATTGTAGTGCTGTACTTTAGGCTATTGGTCTTGGAAACGCAGGGCCTAAGATGGCGCCCAGAGGCAAGATGGCGCCCAGAGCTGAGAGAGAAGCTGCGCTTCTGGGGCCTGTTGAGGCAGTGGGGTGTGCGATGGCAGGGGCATTACCACAGCGAAGTAGGGTGGGCTGCCCCACATAACAAATTTATAGGTTCCTGAGGAAAAATGGGCCGCAGCGCTGGTAATGGCAGGGTTGGATTACATGTAATGGGAAAAAAATATAGTCTGGCAGGTGATACCAGTTTTAATCTCCCCATTCTTGGGTCTTGTGGTACTTAAAAGCAATGATACCTAAATGTCTACCTACCTAAATGTCTAACAGCACAAAGGGCAAAAAGAAATGGCGGTGATAGCGGAGCCTGGGTAAGAATAATAGTGTTGGTTGAACAAAGACAGCAGTTCTCTCAAACCCCTCCTAGATTATGGATCAGATTCAGTCTGTGGTGTCAGGGCCACCACCAGAAGAAATGCACATGGCTTGGTGTGGTCAGATCTGTACTTACAAAGTAATATGACTAATGTGTAAATAATTGTATTAGTTATACTTTTCCAACTGTGCTTAAAGCATATAGCTTAACATACTTTTTTTTTTTAAAGCAGAAAAGTATCAGAAATCTCTGTGTTCCTCATAGTTTGAAAATGAGCCTCATCCCAATGTCAGGTGTACTGGGTTTGGCTGGGATAGAGTTAGTTTTCCTCATAGTGGTGTGTGTGGTGCTGTGTTTAAGGTATGTGCGTGTAAAAATGATGCTGTGCAAAGACTGTTTCATGAGGTTGTGTAGGTTGACTGAGGTGGTCCTACTTTTGCCTGTTCATTGTCATAGAGTTGCATAATGGCAAACAAAGTTATTCTTTGACATGAAAGTCAACAATATTGCATTATAGTGTTACTGTTTTTAAAAGTTCAGATAAAAATGTTCTGTTATGTTGCAGGGATGATACAAAGAAGCAGAATATACTATTAGTAACTGTTCTTCAGCTGTGTTATATGAGTACTGGAAATGCTGGGACAGGTTGATGTTGGGTGGGCACTGGTTTCCTGAAGGGATGCTTGATGGCACTCACTGCAGCCCACGGAGCCCAGCAGGACCCAGTGGGTTCCTTCCCTGGGCAGTGTTGATGTTCAGTTCCCTCTTGGCTTCAGTGAGGATTAAGTGTAAACCAGAGATGTTGGCATCATCCTTGCAGGCACCTCATGGCTGGGCAGTCACACACATTGGACTTCACATGGTTTCTGCCCACCTTACATGATACACGTTTAATTGCATCAAGTAAAGTTGAACTTTGATGCAGGAAACTGAGAGCTTTTTATTTTTAGTCAACTTGCTCAAAACCTGATTGGAGAAGTCATGTAAGGAAGGGGTACAAATTCCAGGCCCTGCAAAAATGAAAGTTAATTTTACAGTAACAAACTCCCCATGATATTCTAGGCTGTTTAATTAACAAGGAGATATTAGTGTCATGTCCTCCTCCTTGGGCTGGGGGGGGGGGGGGGGGGGG